CCTTGGAATCTCTCTTCTATGGGAAGCTGAATTACAGAGAAATCTGTGCTGCCTTTTGTACCAATTTGTGCTCACTGGGATGTTTGCTGGCTAGATCAACCAAAAGAAAGCCATGGTACCTTCTGTGGGATGCTGCTTAGTATTGAATTTGGCCTACCAGATCAAAAGACATTCACTTTTAACTAATTGGTAACTGTTCAATGCTTGATCAAGGATCAGGGTGGTACCCCTCTGGTAGCAATGTTTGCATGTGAGCTGTCCTGGAGCAAGCAGGGTCTGTGCTGAGGAAAACCCATGGGATGTACTACACCACATCCCTCTGGCCCCACTGTCCCTGCAGCAAAAGCCCTGGTGGGGCTCAGCACCAGCTCAGGACAGCTGGAGGGAACACGGAGGAGAATCAGCCACAGATTTGTTTTCAGAGCCATTACATTTACGAGAACAGACCTCTTCTTGCAATGTATTCACGTGAAGTTTTGTGTCAAGCAGCAGATAATGGAAATCATCCTGGTGCCCATTACTTTGGTGGCAGCTTACCTTGAATGCAGCATTCAGTCCTGGGCACATCATTACCAGGCAAAAATAGAGAAGCCGGAGACAATTCAAAGAGCAGCTAAAATGATTTTGGAGTTGAAAAGATTGATTTATGAGGAAAGATGATGAACTAAATATATATAGCTTCACTGAGTAATGACTAGGGTTATGGTTACTATGTTCAGGCATACAGAAAAGAATTGTTGTGTGTATACAAAAATGTGATGCTAAGGGGAGCACGATAGAAAAGGCAGAAGCAGAAGTCTGAGCTCAGTAACAGGACAAAATCTCTGTGAAATAGTCTCCTAAAAGGCATGGAAAAAAACTCCCATCTTCATATGGGCATTTAAGAGAAAACAGGGGAAAATGTAGAAAGTGGTTATTTATCCAATTGCTTTTTAATCAATCTATAAGCCAGAAAAGTAAACAAACAAACAAATAAATAAATAAAGACATTCATTTTCCCTGACTTCAGTGTTCCTTAAAAATACCAACAACTATGGTGGAGGAGAAGCTTCACACTACGTATCTCTCAATGAGATCTGGATTTTGTAATCTTGGCAATTCTCAGAACCCTACAAATACTCCCTCACACTGGGGACAACATTTCCAACCCAGTCGGTCTGTGGTTTTGGGGGTTCCTTTTGTTTATTGCACACCGCAGAACCCGGAGGACGTGGGCGAGGCGTCCTTGGGCGTGGGGCTCAGCCTGCTCCGGCTGCTGCTGGAGCTGCCCCCTGCCAACACCTCTTCGCCAGGCCCAGGACCCTTGCGAGGCAATAGGCATGGAGAAACCCAAGTCCCATCCCATCCCTTAGCCCTCTGAGCCAAATTTCCCAGTAGGTTTGCAGAAATGCTCGCCTAGCCCTGGTAAGGGAGAATTAAGTAGAAGAGAGAATGATAACTGGAAGAAGTGGACAAAATAGACAAAATCCCTTTTTCTTCTGTCCACTGGGATTCTCCAAAGCCCTGGAGAATATGCAGGGTGAGTGCTTTTGGAGTTTGAAGGGATTCCAACATCCCCAAATGGTTTAGCTTGAGAAACTGATGTTGGAGGCCGTGGTCAAGGGCCGCCATGCACAAAGATCCTTGTTGATGTGGTGTCCAGCTGAGAATTTCATGAGGAAAATCTGCACCCTTAAAATTAGCTAACCAGCAGAATGGCTAAGGAAGTAGTTGGCTAATTTGGATCGCAGCAATGCTGGCACTTCGCACTGCCATGCCTGTTGAAGTAACAGCATGGAACATTAAGTGATATAAGTGAATGTGCTATTAAAGAACTGAAGGGCTATTTTTTTCTAGATGTCATTTAAAAAAAATAAAAATTGCCTCATTTAAACTCATCCTAAAGCTGTTAAAACAATTTTACACATTGCTGTTTACTTTTGAAGTATGTTGAGACCTTATCTTATTCCCTCCTACCACTGTTCAAGGCTAATCAGAATATATTAATGCCTTTACAGTAAGAAAATCTATTTTCCATTGCAATAAAGCAGCAAATGAACTTAGAGATTTCTACATATTCTGATTACCAAAGACCTGTTCTTTTTCTTGTCCAAAGGCTAAGAAAGGAAGAACAAGAAAGAGAAGTGAGATGCTGTATGACACAGGCACCTATTCGTGGAAGAGAATTACAAAAAAGCTTAATGGTTAAACAGTGGGAGTTGAAAGCAAGCCTAAAATGACTCATGCTGTCCTGAATAAGGAGGCTTTCCAAAATCTGGCCATCAGCATGCTGGTGAAGCATTTTCCCTCCCTAAAACCAGCTCTGTTTCCCAAAGGGGAAAAATACCTGCTCGGTAATAAAAACATGGGCTATCTGCTCTCAGTGCACCAGCTCAGGGACACGAGAGGTGAGCGATCCTGCATCAGCCATGCTCCCCCTGTGCTGAAAAGCATCCCCCCACATACAGCAGGGTGCAGGCAAAGGGGAGATGTCTCAGGCTCCCCTGGGGCTGCCTCCCCCCGTGGGCTGCGGATCAGGGACTGTGCACGGGGCGGGCGCTGAATCCAAGTGAGCTGATGGAACATTTTGATAAGAGGGCTGCACAGGGACTTTGCTTTGGGTTGTTTGCTCTCCCTGCTTAGGCAGGGACAAGCAATCTGAGCTTGTTTCCATCCCTCTGCAAGAGGCCAGGGAGAAAATTTAGGGGACTGCAGGAGAGACTGTGGAAAGCTTTGGGAGATAAAAACAAACAGCAAACAGAGTAACACAAGGGGACAATGCAGTGTAAAGGGTAGGAAGATTTGCTTGATGCCTATGGACGAAGGACAAATATGCAAAAGCATTTTTCTCTCTCACTGCAGAGTTTGCAGTTGCTTTTTTTTTTTTTTTTCCTACACAAAAGAGACTCATATCTCCCCTGCTTCAAAAAATCAAAAAAAAAAAAAAAAAAGAAAATCTTGGCTCAGCAAGGGTCAACAGATTTATGGCTAGCTTTAAATCAGTGCAACTTTACCTGGGAGGTTTAGTTTTGGATGTATTCAGAGCAGGGAATAAGCATATGAATTATTCTGGTATAGTGGTAGTAAATAGTCCAGCGGTCTCAGACCAATTTCTGCGGTGCCATATCTCATACGGGCTGATAAATCCAGCATGTGCAGCTGCTGAAAACCAAGCTCCAGGTCTGTACAGCCAGTGACTCGCTGACCATGTCCCAGCCCCACCCCAGTAATGTGTTTTTTGTGATGCCAAGATCTGGTGATGGCCTCAGCCTCCCTTGATTCATTTGCTGTTTCTCAACATTGGGGAAAAAAACATTACCATGTTAGATGGTGAGAAAAGCTCTCTCTGCAGCTGGAACAGCAACTCTTCCTCCCACTACTAGAATTAAAAACAAAATTATAAAAATATTGTTGTGGATAATTTCAGCCCAGAAATACTGAGCGGCTCTTATGAATGATAATGTTTTCGCTAATGCTTCCTGGTAGAGCCACATCCTTATTCCTGCTGCTCGGAAGGGTGGTTTATCGTGTTTAGGAGGTTCGGAGAGCTGTCTGAAAGCAGTCAGTCAGTCTGCACTGTGATATTTTGGCTCTGCCTGTATTTTGTTTAAAAAGCAGAAATAAATGTTGCCTGAGGAAATAAAAAGAATTGAGAGGAAAAATGTGGCTGTGGAAAGCCAGCTGTCAGTTATCCAAAATGTATTAAATCCTGGCAAACAAGTCTCCAATATCACCTCCAGCCCACTTTCTCCTTATTTTCCTTTCCTCCAGCCACACACAGTCTCTATTCCATCAGAGCACTAACAGAGAGTTGATGGCCCCCCAAACTCCACCACCATGAGGTCCGTTTGACCAGCCCCAGCACCAAATGGAAGCCCACCAGGAGCACAGCACGCACGGGATGTATCAGTGCTGAAAATTCAGTGACCTGGATAGCTCCGAGCACTGCGCCATGCTGCAGTGGAGTGAAAACAGCCTGTTCAGAAAACCAGCCCTGGAGACCTCCCTCTCACTTATCTTGAATCATCCTTGACACGAGGGAGGTGTGAGACTGGCACCCGCGTACAGCCACTTGCTTTTGAATTTACAAGGTGGAAAGTCCTGGAAAATTGCCCTTCAAATCCAAACCTGACTTCCCTCGGATAGATAAAACAGCGGGATTATCTTGTCTGCACTATCTCATTCAGCTGAGACTTTATGTGCTGAATGCATTCCTGATGTGCTCTCCTCTGAGGGGCTGCTGGTTGCTGTACGGGTGTACGTGGTGGTGGCTTTTTGCCAGAGCATTTTGGTCCCAGCAGCAGAGGTTGTCGGTTCAGCATTTGCTTGATATTGCTCTTTGCTCAGGAGAATTCTTCTCTTCTCTCCTTTCCCTCACAGCTATCGCTGTGCCTCTCCACGGTGCTCTTAGCACCATTTAAACCATGCCAGCACATCCTATTTTTACACGTCGAGAAATTGCAAGCCTATAATGAAATATGGGCACGAAGGAGAGCGTACAATAGGTGGTGCAAAATGCTCGCCATGCAGGTGAGTCTATAAAATAGCGATGTGTAAAACATCTCTGAGCCCTGCTATGTTTTGGCAGACTATTTCCCTTTGGTTACAATTCAAGCACTAGTACAGTCTGTAGAGACTTGCACAGATTTGCCTTGGGGCTTGCTTGTCTAAAATATACACCTCGGCATCTCTATTGTTTCAGAGCAGTCAGGATCAGATGGGATTTTTTTAGGTGTCTGATCTGGGAGAGAGATCTTCAGGGTTGATGCCACTGCACTGCACAAGATATATAGGCTTATTTCTCAAAAAGCTGGCTCTAACAAGTGCTTGATATGGAGAAAATTCTTTTGAGATGTGGGATTGATGGCAGCAACAGCCAAAGGACCGACCAGAGGCTTTCATTCCCAGGGAAATGAAAGGGAAAATGACCCTCCTACATGGATGGTTCTGCTGATGGGCATCGTGCACCGCTCCCCCTGAAATTATTGCAAGTCAGCCACCAGGGGCAAGGAGAAGCCCTCTGGAATTTCTTGCAACCCGTGTTCTGACTGAGGATGTTCAGGTTGGCATTTGTGAGGGCTCTGCCACCTTTTGCCAGGCTAGCCTGGGACACCTGATAGAGTATTAGAGTATTGGCCAGATCTAGCCAACGTTGGTGGGATGCTCAGAGGCACAATGGTCCCTCTGTGGAGAGCTCTGTGGCTCTGCCTTCTGATGAGAATGACAAAAGTTTGTGTTTTCTTTTTTTTTTTTTTTTTGATCCACTCCATACTTGTTCTTTCCATGCCTGGCAATAGGAACAGGCAGCAATGAAAGCACCAGTAGCTTTCTATTGAAATGTCTGCAAAATGTTCCCAGACCGGGCAAAGTGGCTGAAACCCATGCACAAAGCGTGGCTGATTTTTGTGCTTTTATGGCCCTGATTTGCCCACTCTGATGGCTGGACCTTGCGCTGGGTGAGGGCTGGTGCTTGCCTTCGCCTCTCCCCATCAGTGCTCAATAGCCTGTGAAGAGGGAAGGCTTTGTTTTAGTGGGAGCAGGTGTTTGATTACCTCGCCTTTCTCTTTTTGCATTCAACACATCCCCAGCTCACCTCTCCAGGAGGGATAAACTTGTGGTAGTGAAAGCAGCAAGGGAAATCACTTGAAAGGCGACATTGGAGGTAGGCTGCCGAGCAGAGAGCTTGATGAAACAAAAGAGGAAAGAAGTGAAAGAGAGCATTTAAAGTATTTTCCCTCCCTGCGGCAGAGCTGCCAGCCTCACACAAGCCTGTCCCTGGGTAGCTGCCCCAGGCTGCACCCAGCAATGGGGAGAAATTCAGTGAGAAATTCAGCCCTCTTCCCCATCCCTGGCAGTGTCCCCTCCAGGGGTCCTTGCCTGGAGGCCACGCCGCTGCTGGCTGCTCTCTCACTCCCAAACCAGGAGCTGTGGACAGGATCCAAGGAGAGCGAAGGCATCCCCAGAGGGGACATCGGATCCGTTGCCGCCCGTGCCAAGCCGCAGTCACGCAGCGGGGCCGTGCTGAGCAGCAGCAGCTGAGGACTTGGCACCTGAGCTGCCCTTGGCCCGAGCGCCCAGCTCCATGTGCCAACACCGAAAGGGCTGGTGGGCCAGAAACAGGCAGGACGGACACACGGACTGATGTTTTTTGGATGCGAAAGAACTGGTGAGGAGCCTGCCTGGTTTTAGCACACCCCAGGTGAGCATCCATCCCACCAGCTTGGTCCCAAAGGAGCAGACAACTACCATCCAGGCTATATCTTCCTTTCAAAGATAGAAGGTGGCCATGCCTCAGTGACTCCAAGCCCATCGCTCTGCTTTAGCCATCTGTCAGGCTCGCTGCCACGGTGCCTGGGTGTTTGCTCAGACACTGAAAGGGAATTACCCACCTTGTATCATGGCAGATTGTTTTTGCCTTCTTGCCGCTCCATTCCCCTGGTGAATATTTTGGATCTTTGCCTCTAGTGGCTCAAATGCAGGTGTTGGATGATTGCCATGGAGAGTCAGGGACAGAGAATAAAGAAATTCTTGGTGTCTTTGGATGAGGCTGAGGTTGGAAGGGATTTGTGTCAGCTCTCCCAGAGTTTGCAGATACCAGCACAGCACTGGGATCAAAAGATGAGCAAAAATGATTTCTAAGCCACTATTGTTCCCTTTAGATAACATCCTCCAGCGTTGTGCCAGAGAGTGGCCCAGAGTACAGACTGAAGGCCAAACTGGGAACATTTGCCTATTGGAAACATCTGCTGTTCTCCTCTGCTCCTCGTATAATTTGCCAAAATTTACTTCTCGTACGTTGCTGGCTCAGAACACTTTGTTGTGAGGCTTAATTCGCGGTGTGTAATCTTGTGACACATTGCTGCCTGATGATGTAGGACATGGAGATGATGAAGGAGGATGACTGGAGCCTAAACACACCAGAAAGAGTGCAGTGCCCAGCTTGGAAGCTGGACAAAATATTTTCATAAGCATCAGCTAGCTTTGCTGTTATTAGTCTTAAGAGCTGGAGAGAATGAGAAAGTTGTGCAGCCAAAGATAAAAGGCCTTTCAATAGATGTGCCCATGAATTGAATGCCCTGCTGAAATTTCAAGGTTTCTTTGACCTCGTGATGTGATAAAATGAGTGTCCTATGCTGGCATGTAAGCTCCTCATGCCCTGTGTGGACATCTAAATGCTCTCAACCAGCCTAGGTGCCCTGTAAAGCACACCATTCCCTTAAGAAGACACCATTACATGATATGGTTCATTTTCTCTGCCCTAGATAAACGCTACAGCTCATTAGAGCCTCCAGCCCTTTGGTTGAAGGATTTCCTGAAGGACTTTGCTGGATCAGAGCACGGAGTGGTGGGCAGTGGTCTCACTGCACCTCAGCTCTTTGGTTTCTCCAGGTTGGCCATCTCCAAAGTCAGAGTGATTCAACCCATCCTGAACCTGGGATCTGAAATATGTGGGTTCAATCTATTTTGCTCTGATAATGCCATGGTCTCTCCATTAATAGGAGAGGTAGTGAACACTGATGAACAACCTCAGCAAGACACAGGGAAAATCAGGGACGATGAATTCCCCCCACCCAACAAAAGCTGGGACTAGGTGCTGATATGCAAGTCCTACAGCCAAAGAGATGTGAATGCTCCTAAAACTCATTTCTTACTTATTTTTGGGTTGTTTGAATCTAGAGGTCAAATACTAGACTTTAGCATTGCAGTCATGCCTTACATGAAAGATGAATATATGAATAGTTTATAACAGGCTAATGAACAATTAATAGTTAATTCAACAAATGGATAATCAAATGTTATGGATTGTTATACAGTCCGACAGGTCAATATGCTGCCTGTGACCATGGCTGATTGCTACCAATAACACCTTGAGTGATGTGATTCCTACCAGCTTTAACACAAGACGTTTGTGTCCAGGCAACTTCTATTAACCCTCTCCCCACTCTTCTAGAAATAGAAACTTCCTCCAATGCATGCCCAGAGTTAATGGGTTATGATAGGAACATAAGGCTGTGGGCTGTTGAGGAGCTCATTTGTAGCTCAAAAACTTGATTATGGATGAGCAGAAAGAAGTAGAGACAGATGAAGGCAGACTGCAAACTGACGACAACATCTGCTAACTGAACAGGCAAAGCTCCGAGTGCCAGAATCACACATCCAGAAGTCAACGAGTGGTGGGACTTTTAATCTGTGCTGGGGGGGCTCAGGAGGATCCTAGAGATTCCTTCAAGGTTTAGCCATAAGCCTAAGTGTCTACCCGACTGTTTTAAAATTAGAGTTTGCAGAGCAGGTCAGCTAACTAGCCCAGATGAGTCTGTGCAAGAGAAATTGCTCTTTCATGATCTCAGCTCTGCTACCATACAATCAATTTTGCCTTTAAGTAGTAGAAAGGCTCCCTGGAAGTTGCCAGCTCTGATTACAGTGTGAAACATCTAACCTTGGTTTACAGCAACCGCAGTCGCGTTCCCAGTGGCTTGAGATTTACTTGGCCTGAGGCTGTGCTGGGCGAAGGGGGAGAACATCCCCCCGGCACCCCTGGGGAGGTGCAGACCGCTCACACATGCCATCAGCAAGATGGAAAAGCAGCTGAAGGAACAGCTCAACATGGGCTCGTGTCCTGAAATGCAACCGCACAGCCGCTGCTCGTTTGTCCTTGGAGCTGCAAGGATTGCTTGAGTGACGGCCGAGGCATTTCACACGCCAGTAAGCACATTCTCCCCAGGTATTTCTGATCGCTGTTCATTTTGTTTGCTGACAAGTTTGTGGCAATATGCTCGCTCCGGCTAAAAATTACACACCGGCTAAGAGATGAACAGGCTTAATTTTCCTCACTTTTACACTGGTTTTGCAATCAGTGTAACTTCAATGACCCTTTACTTTTATACCAGAAATAGTACTGAGGAAATTGGATTTAACGGAGTAAAGAGCTGTTCGGTGGAGGTATCGTAGGAAGGCAAAGACAAACCAGAGACTTTTTTTCCACTCTTCCTGATTCTGGCACAGGCTAAAGGCCAAATCTGCCACCAGTACAAAACAAAGCAAACCTCAGACTGCTTTAAATGCCCTCGGTTTGTAAAAGCTGCTAAGGAGCCTTATGGTGCCATGTTTTCTGCATCTCTGTGTGCATCCCCTCCAAAACATGAGCAGAGCTGCCGTCCTGGTGCTGTAGAGATGGTTATGATCCCCAGCTGGCTGGTTTCAAGTCTCTGTGCCAGGCCAGCTACAAAGAATCTCTGGTCCAGAGACCACTGATGGGAAGATTCACTGTTCTGAGGTCTCTGAATCATTTTTTCCTGTCTCCTCTCATTTCTTCTCCCACCTGCTGAGCGTTAGAGGCTTGATCAGCCTGGTAGAGCATGCAAATATTAACATTTTCCCCCAGAAGTGCTAACAGCCACACGAACTTCTTGCTAATGGGTACAGCGAGCAGGAGATGCCACTGGTGCACCCAGCAACCATCCCAGGGAGCCAGAGCTAACACCTGGGGGCCGTGGCCATGGGAGGCAGCAGGAGCAGCTTCCCCTCCCTCTGCATTTCTCCTCTGGAAGGACAGCCCAGAGGGACAGCAAGGAGGGAGAGCAGAAGCTGGGGAGCTGGCTGCGATCCTGAAGGCATTTCAAACCATTTCCAGCTTGCAGGAGAAAATGTTTCCCAGCAGATGAATAGCCCCAGGGGTATGCACAGACAAAACATCCTTCTCTCAGTACGTGTGCAGATCCCAATGCCAGTATCCAAGTCATTATTACTTTTTCTTTTTTTAATCCTCCCTAATTTTATAATGAGCTTATCCTTGCTTATTTGCAGACATTTGGGGTTTGTGCCCTTCTTTTATATGAACATAGATAGAAATAGGATAGGAAATCTTTTTCCTATGGATGATGGAGAAGTATCCACGTCTCTGCCACATCCAGAGTCCATGGGAAGCTTGTGGCTGCTTTGTTCCTGCTCCCCCTGTTCCCAGGCCCTCTTCCCGACTGGCTGAAGGTTATCTACTGGGGGAAGGTAAGAAGATAAACCCTGCTGGCATGCTAATGCCTGCTGAGTGGGATGTGCAGCCTAGAGAGCGCAAGGAGTCCGCAGCACTTGTCCTGGGCAACGGAAGGAATGAATCAATTAATCTCCAAAAGTGGGGACTTCAGAGTTGATGAATGGCACTCAGTGAATATTAAACTCCCTTTTCTGTGGGATGGATGTTTTCCAGCCTGGTAAATTTTGTCCCTGCATACTTTACAAGAACAAGCTGCAGTGCTCTATGGCTGTGACTAAGGACTGGAAGAGAGAGCACCTGCCTGGGGCGAGTTCCTGTAGCACTTCCAGAAACAACCATCCCTGTTCCAAAAGAAGATCCAGCACAATTTAAGATTGAAATCTGTTACTTTGAAGGATCCAAAAATGGTTGATTTTAGCAGGGATTTTGTTATGCTTTTTAACTATCATAACAAAGGAAATAAAATTAGCCTGCTGGATCCACACATCTGACTCCACTCACGTGGCGCAGGCTCTTGTATTTCCCAGAAGATCATTTTCCAGCCTCCTCCTCTTTTCCCCTGACAGGTGATGATATTAGTATTTATTGGTTAATAAGCTAGCTTGGGAATTCTTGTACAATTTCTGAATGGGGAGAAACATGTGGTTTGTTTTACGGCCCAGCTGACGCTGTTGCCTCTCGGTTGAGAAGGATG